GGAAAACCATCACAAGCTCGAGGGAGGAAAAGTATGGGAAAACATCGACTAAATTGGATTCATAAGGATCGTATCAAAGAAATGCAATCAAGAAGGAGTTGGACGAGGCCAAGGAGAGAGAACCAGCTTAAGACGTAAAGCTAAAAGCGCCCAAGGAGGGAGAACCAGCTTAAGACGTAAAGCTTAAAGCGCCCAAGGAGGGAGAACCAGCTTAAGACGTAAGGCTTCAGGCGTCCAAGGAGAGAGAACTAGCTTAAGACTTAAAGCTTAAGGAGCCCAAGGAGGGAGAACCACCTTAAGAGTAAAGCTTCAGGCGCCCAAGGAGAGGAACCAGTTTAAGACGTAAAGCTTCGGGCGCCCAAGGAGGGAGAACCAGCTTAAGACGTAAACTTATGGTGATCAAGGAGGGAGAACCAGCTTTAGACGTAAAGCTTATGATGATCAAAGAGGGAGAACCAGCTTAAGACGTAAAGCTTAAGGCGACCAAGAAGGGAGAACCTATTTAAGACATAAAGCTTAATGTGCACAAGTCGGGAGAACCAGCTTTAGACGTAAAGCTTAAGGTGACCAAGGAGGAAGAACCAGCTGAAGACGTAAAGCTTAAGGCGACCAAGGAGGGAGAAACAGCTTAAGACGTAAAGCTTAAGGTGACCAAGGAGGGAGAATCAGCTTAAGACGTAAAGCTCAAGGCGCCCCAGGCGAGAGAACCAGCTTAAGGAGTCAAAGGAGTGGGAATCAGCTTAAGACGTAAAGCTTAAAGTGACTAATTAGGGAGAACCAGCTTAAGACGTGAAGCTTGAGGTGATCAAGGAAGGAGAACCAGCTAAAGACGTGAAGCTTAAGGTGACCAAGACGGAAGAACCAGCTTAAGACGTAAAACTTAAGTGACCAAGGAGGAAGAACCAGCTTAAGAAGTAAAGCTTAGGGTGACCAAGGGAGGAAGAACCAGCTTAAGAAGTAAAGCTTAGGGTGACCAAGGAGGGAGAACCAGCTTAAGATGTAAATCTTACGGTGACCAATTAGAGAGAACCAACCTCTTTCCCTCTCTCCCGCCTTCCCTCTTTCTCTCTCTCTCTCTCCCTCCTTCCCTCTCTCCTTTAGTCTCCTCCCTCCCTCCTCCCCTCTCAGCCTTAAGTCACGAGGATCTAGTTGAAGTTCTCTTATATAACACACCATCCTCACCGATTCTCTGGCCTTACAACACGACCACCAGGGAGCAGACACACTCAGGCAATACTCGCTATCTTATCCGTTTCTTTACTTACTGCATTATAAAGAGGCAGCTGAATGTAACGTTATCTTGTGGTCTATATCATATAACGGTAGACTATACTGATAATATACATTGTTCGTCTATTTATTCGTTTATTTATTTACTTATCAATTTATTTATTTATATATTTATTTATTTATTTTATTTGTTTGTTTATTTCATTTGTGGATTCTATTCTGTCTAGCCGCCATCGCCATTAACAGTTTAGAGATATATAGAGATATACACATGACTTACTCAACACACACACACACACACACACTCGCGCACACACGCGGCCATTTTTTTAAACATTCGGGTTATAATAGTATCCCGAAAGCGCCCTCCGAGCCGTAATTCATTTTTTAAACCAAATTTTGTCGGATTACCATTTAGTAGTCCGACAATAATATTGGAAAGTTCGGGATAAGTCCTTGGGTGTGGGTAAGCACCCGAAAGACTTTTATCCCGAATGTTCAAACTAGTTATATATGAAAAGAAAAAGTTTCTGAAATACAATTTATGTAAATTAAGATAAGATAATAAAGAAATCAAATATTCAAATGTCCTAATAACCGCTTCCGATGAAAATGTATAGATTTTAAAGAGACCGCCGTAATGTTTTACCTTAAACTCCGAAGATATTTCGTCTCCCCATCGCTCTTCTCCAATTTTATCAAGCATTGCATTCCTACAATCATCTTCTTATAGCTTCAGGTATGTTGTTAAGTAACACACTTTTGCTTGTGATAGATATGCAGTAATATCTTCATTACCCAGAATTCGCCAATATGTACTCGGAATTGAAATTGGCTCGGAGTTTTTCCGGGAAATTTTTCAACATTCCGGGTCTGTGAACGAATTTTCAAGGTTGAAAATCGGGTTAATGTTTTTTTTTAAATTCCGAAAATTTCTTAAACAATTTGATTACAGGCCTTGCAGCAAATTCCAAGGTTAAATATCAGGCACATTTTCTGGAAATTTTTATGAAAACTTCCTGAAAGTTTTCCCGGGTCTTCGAGGATGAAAGAATGTTTAAACTCGGAAACGTTTAAATGTAACCGGAAAAATTCTAGGTGATGTGGGATTTTTCATAGTTTGAGAGTCTTGTAATCTGGAAGTCTCTCATCCCAGGAAGAGCTCTGCACCAATTATTCCGGCTAACGGGGATATCTCCTGCATGTTGCACTTTATAGAGGATGGTTCTCTCAAGAACTTAAAATATAACACAGTAATTTAGGAGCCCTATTGTTTACCATAAACAGGATAAACAATGTTAGACAAAACAGTGAAAAAAATAAATTATATCCGACAGGATGCAGTATTCCTCACACCTGCAACTCATAACTGCAATGAGATACTTCAGCAGTGGCAGCTCCCAAATTAGTATGGCAGGCTGCTTCAACATTTCTGTCTCAACAGTTTGCAAGTTTGTCAGAAGCTTTGCAGCTATTTTGACCCTTACGGCAAAAGATTACATCCACTTTCCAGAATCAGGCCACTCACAAAACCTTGTAGATGAATTTAGGTAAAAAAAAAAATAGTTTTTATTATCAAGGTTATTTTCCAATAATTTTTTGGGTTTTAAATAACACATTTTATTTCCTCCAAACATTATCACAGTACAACTTGAAACAGTATTTAAATTCAACAAAAATTATAAAGGGATTACACAGGCATGACTAAAGAAAAATATATCACAGTGCAGTACAGTATTTGTAAAATTATATCATTCAAACAGTATAGCACTTAGCTTGAAATAATAAATGTACACATTTTTAAAGGCTTCAAAGTACTATACTGTACTGAAATAGTTTGCAAGTGTTAGATATAAACAATTTTAGTTCCTCACAGTACCTGTACTGTATACAGTGCTGCATAGAAATTAATAGTAATCATACTTAGTTTAAAATTGCAAATACAGATATCGCAATGATGATGACGACGTCAGTGAAGAGGCAGGTGGTGCGTCATCCCAAGAACAACAACACTTATCCCATAGTAATGTTAGGGGTGCCATCGAGTGTATCGAGAAAGCCAAGCTCCTCCTTTCCGACGACCCTGACGCAAACAGGTATGAAATCTTCACTACCCAGCTGTTGCAACTATAGAGCCCTACATCAAGGTGTATCACGACAACATCAACACCAGCCGTCAGCAAAGCATAACAGATTTCTTCGCCCGCAACCCACCACAGCCAGCCCAAGCCAGTGAAGATGACTTTGAGGGATTTGTCAGGGAAGCCCTGACAACTGTAAGTGATGGTGATTCACCTGAGGGCCAGTAATCTGCCCTCTGCCTCGGAACCAGCCTCCATCCCCGTATGCCGACCCATCTCTTCTATTAACGTAAGTGTTCCACATAACTTTTAGTTTTCCTAACCTAACCTTTATTTTTCCTAACCTAACCTCTTCTATATTACTTGTTTTTTCATACCATCATAAAGTTAAGATAAAATTTTTACTACAACAAAGTTGTGTCGTCAAAAAGTGGAGTTTGGGGGTCGGCCCGGACTCTATTTCAATTAATCCCATATGTTATGTTATTCACTTTACGCGTTCCTCACTTTCCGCGGGACCCTGCGGGTTACATTAACCTCGTAAAGTGAGGGTTGACTGTATTAAATTCCCCTTACCTGGACGAGAAGAAGAGTTCATGCAGGAATTTGCCTCACATTCCAATCAGGAGCCCTGGAGAGCCAAATCCTGAACTCTACAGGTGTAGAAAGAATTTCTTTTCCATTAATATCCTGGCCATATGTGATGCACACATGAAATTTACAAACCTTGTCCTAAACTGGCCGGGCAGTGCTCACGACTCCCGCATTTTCTCAACTTCAAGACTTTGTGACAGTCTGCAGGCCAGTGATTATTGAGGCTTTCTCCTTGGTGATAGTGGATATGCATTGCATCCATACTTACTCACTCCAATCCATAATCCATCTAATGAAAAGCAGAGGAAATATAACAGATCTCATATTAAAACAAGAACTACAATTGAAAGGACATGTGGAGTGTGGAAGAGGCAATTTGCTGTCTTGCAACATGTAAGATCAAAGCTGTGTACTACCCAAAATATTATAATTGCATGTGCAGTTCTCCATAATATTGCTTTGATTTCTGGACTTCCACTGGACATAGAAGACATGCATTTCGAAGACCCTGACGACCCGGAAGAAATGGTCAGATATGGAAATCATGAAGGTCGAGCACGGAGGGAGTATATAGTGGAGCATTTCTTTTAGTTAATAAAGTACAGTAAGGTTTATTTCATTACTTTGATAATCTTTAAGAATACGGCTTTAGTTAGTTAGGTAACTACTATGTTCCATTCATTGCTTTAATTGGTGACGATTCATGTCATTAAATTTTAATGAAACTGGTTCTATATTTATCTTTTTTTTTTAAGCATTCATAAGTATGTTGCCTCAAATTGTTTAATTTTTACTTCATTGTGGTCTTTAATAATGGAGCTTAACTCAATATGTAAGGTAATTCACCTGTGAGGTTTTATGAAGACAACAAAAGGAAAGAAATATATATATATATTTTTTTATAAATGTGTAAAAATTAAGAAAATAAACAATAATTTTTCTATACATAGCTCTGCATTTCCAGAAATTCACAGCTTATATTATAGATATATAAAAATAAATCTTAACTGCCATACTTTGGACAATATTTGTAACTGACATGAAACTATTTCTATCTTGGGCACAAAAAGAAATGGTTCACTCCTTCTCTACAGCTATTTATATCAATGCATAAAATTTAATAAAAGAAACATATCCTCTATACAGTACTTTGCACAGAATAACATATTTTATAAATACCTGTATACACCAAACAAAACTTTATTCTTTATCACAGAAAATAAATTCAATTTTTGAAAATCATAGCCTTCATGTATATTATAAATATTCACCAACCACAAATAATTACCTGCCATACTTATGACAGCTTTTGTAAACAAAAAAACCTTTGTCAAAATAAACACATGTATGTTTATTTCCTTCAAATAAAATTAGTTGAATATGTAAGAAATAGAAAGATTAACTTTTACTTTAGATGCCAATTTCTGAAATATTACATCATCATTCATATGTTTTAGCCATGGCATCATATGAAGCTCCTGCTTTCCTTAAAACACTATCTAACAAATCCAAAGAATTAGTCAATTTTTCATGTCTTTTCAATCGATGCAATTGCAGTTTCACTTAATTTTTGTTGTAGTTTTTGTGTTGACATTTCTTTTTTCAGTTTCATTTCCTCAACATGCTCCCTTTTCAATCTGTACAAATTATATTTATGTAACTCTTCTTGTCTTTTATCACACATTTCATACACACTTGTCACCCCCCTAGTTCGCCTTGGTGTGCTCCTTGGCAGTAAATTGTGCAGAAGACACAGATGATGGCCCTGGGGTTGGACCAGGTAAAACAAGTGGATCATAGGACTGAGTAAGTGAAGCAGAAGGTACACTTGCAGAAGTCTTCTGCATGCCACGAGCACCTCGGCAAATACTGAAACAGTACACTGTGTCAGTAAACGTGTATAAGGTAAAGGTAAAAGTGACATAAGAAAAATAACAGATAAAATATTTAGCCGTCAGCCACTGTTCCCATTTGATTTTTAGATAGCAAAAGGAGATTGAGCAATGGGAGTTATGAATGCACGCAACTGTATAAATCAATTACTTTTCAGTAATATGCTCACCTAGCTGCACATTTAATAGGGTATTATTTTGCTTCATCTACTAGTTGAATGCAGAAGGTCTCATAAATGTCATCAGCCATTGACAATTCAGCCCTCGTCATTGATGCTGTTAAGGCGATTTCTTCTGAAACTTCCGATATTTTGTCTAATTGACCACCACCTGTCCTTGTTAGCATTTTTCTTTGCTGTATATCTCTGCTTTTAGTTCTGAAAGAAACATAACAATATAAATACTGTATACTGTACAGTACAAACATAAATAATAATAGCAACAGCATAGGCTTTTATCATGCTTTCATCACCAATGTCTATGGGCAAAGTGGATGCAGAACAGACTAATATAATTTACTGTACATATATATGCATCAAAAAAAAATATGTTAGGGTTTTGAACGAATTTTACAATACAGCATTGTTTACAGAGCTTGTACATTTAATCCCTGACTTACGACGGGGTTAGGTACCCAAATCAAGGTTGTAAGTTGAAAATGCCATTTTAAAGTGAATTAAATAAAGAAAATTTTGTATGTGTACTGATGTTGTGACTCGAAAATATGTAATTTGACCAAATATTGGTACAACTGAGGCAGGTCGTAAGTGCGGGTTGTAGTGGAAGAGTAGGTCGTTAGTCTGGTAGGAGCTGTATATATGTTTAAAAAATTTAAATTGACCATTAAAAATTTAGTAAGAAAACATGTTTATACTTTATGATGCTGATGTTCACTTACATCAGTATATCTCAAACAAATAAAGAAAAAAGTTTTTAAAGTAGGCCTAAAACAGGCTAACACGTATCTACTCGGCTACAGTCATATCTGCTATAAAAATTATTATGATATATTAGTAATGATGACTCATATGCTTCTGACAAGTCATTTGAGGTGACACTTCAGAAACTGAGCCTATACCTGTTTGAAGCTTATCTTGCCGGAATATTTTGGCTTGCTAATTATGTGGGGACCCCATACTTGCCAATTTTTCTTGGTGCATGTCATGGTCGTAAAATATTTCCAGGCACCTAATGTAAAGCACGCCAAATCTGCAGAATAATACCTGTTTCATATAGAGTTATATGCTGTATAGCTTCGTTCTATGACAATGGCCACCCATTGTCAGTGAATAAATGGCACAAAACATGGAAATAACCTAACATTAATTTAAAATAACCTTACCTAGCTTAACTGTAACCTAACCTAACTTATTTTTTACTTAACCTAACTTTATTTTAACCTAACTTTAACTAAATTAAGTTAGTTTACCCTAATTGTAACGTATTCTAACTTAACCTCATCTCACCTAACTTTAAGTTAACATACCCTTACGTTAATTTAACCTACCTAACCAAATATTAAATATGACTGTTCCACTAATTTTTTTCACTTATCCATAACTTATTTATCAATGTTTTGCATTTCCTGATTTGTAGTGTTAACAAAAATGTTGTAGTTGTCATCTTTTGTATAAAATTATTACTAAAAATAAAACATGTCAATAAAGTATTAATTCTTAGTGATCCATGTTTTCTTCAACTTATTCACTGGCAATTAAAGATTTCAAACAAGAGAACCTAACACAGTACGGCTGAAGCACCTTTTTACTCATGTATCCTCCATACCAGTTCCTTCATTATGAATTTAAATTTTGTTTCAGATATACACAATTTTAACCTAGCACGCTTAGGAGTAAAAATAAATCAATGGCTAACACTTGCACATATAAACTGTATATGGTCAATACTACTCACACACCCGCATGGAATAGCATATAGGCATATATAACTTATAAAAGTAGACATAAAAACACTTATTTTGATATATAACAACGTGATCATAATATTATATGAAGGAAGGGAAAATGGGGAGGTGAGATGGGAGCTTTCCTTCTGTCGACTTCGGTAGGAGGTGGGACTCCTCACATGACAGGTCACTTAAATACTGTAATCCTAATCAATTTAGTAACCTACTGGCAAAAAAACGTATTTTTAAATACTAAACTTAGAAATAAACATATACTTACTTCCGTTTTTTGTGTTCGTAACTTCTCTTGAGCTGCTTGACTGAGCGAGGGATTTGGTCTGGGTAGCTGGCATTGAATGAAGCAGTAATTTCATCCCAGGCCTTTCTTTTCGTATCATTTATGGTGTTGCTTATAGACCTGTCCTCAATGATTGGCCTTTGCTCAAAAATGCCATGCGTTGGGTTTCAGACAGAGCTGCTGAACATTCTCGTACTACCTCCAGGCTCCATGTTTTGATAACACGCGGAAACATTGTTGCCAAGTACTCAGATGAAAAAAATTATCTATTTTGTTTGGAACATAATAAAGTTCAATTTTATACCAAAAATATATTTTAAAATATATTATTGTGCCGGTTTAAAATAACAACTAAATATCTCTCTAAATCGTCTTTCTAATTATGTGAAATAATGCATTTGGCATGATGAGGCACCACAGAGACGGGACTCAGTTCGTCACGTAATGTTCGCTGATAAGTGTGTCAGGAGCCTCTGGTAGAATAAGCAGGGTTCTACACGTTCTGTGCTTCACCCTACAGCCCACCTAATTATTATAGTCGATCATAGTTCTGTAAGGAGATCGACCACCATAATATCACAATGGACAGACGACGCAGGAAGGCAACAGAGGTAAGGCCTCACCACCACGCTCTCTTCCTCATCTTCACGACATTGTCATCACTGATAGTTACGAATAATGTTTTGTGTTGTGGTAAATATTAATTTAATGAACCATTTGCATACAAAAGTCCTTAAGTTTTATATTTCCATTGACAAATATTGTATATTTAAGAAGATTTTGTCATAATTTGCAACTTTAGTTTAAAACTCTGCCTATTTTTAGAATATAATTGACTAGAACTTAATGAAACAACCTTCAGACAAACATTATATGAATGTGATTTTGGGATTATTATTTATTGAATAATTTAAATGTCGTATATTTAATATAAGCTTCCTTTACTTTGTAGTTTGTGGTTATAATTACGTCAATTATATTGATATGTACAACTTATCACCTTGGAGGCATAATACACAACACACTATAATAAACGAGTATGTCATGTATGTTCATAGGTGTATCATTATACAACTGCATCATAAGAAAGATTTTATTTACATTTTTTTTTTTAGTTTATTGGGCACCCATCTACATCCTGTATAAGGTGAAGCGCAGAAGCGCTTACAGCGCCCATCAGGGAAGCATGCTAAGTTTATGCTTGCCTTTATGTCTCATGAGTTAAGGGCGTAGAAGCCTGAAGGGTCATAGGTTTTTTGTCAAGGGCATAGAAGCCTCAAGAGTCATAGGTTTTTGTCAGCAAGTTATTGGAAGCTCCAACAACTTTCCCTGAATACGAATTCGCAACTTTCGATTTACAACAGGTACCTACTTTACTGCTAGGTAAACAGGGACAAATGGGGGGCGAGGAAGTGTGCCCAAACAACTTTCCACCGGCCCGGGAATCGAACTCGTGACATCATCTCGCTTGCGAGGCAAGAGCGGTACCGCTCTACCACCGGTTGTGACAGAAGCAAGAGCCGAGATGCCCAAGGCGAGATTATTATCACCAACAACTATACTTCCATCCAGCCCTCACACGTACACATCACTTTTACTTCTTTAGTATAAATGAAGGACAACATGGCGTCTGTCATATACTAAAGTATACAGGACGTATAGTCGGCCACAAGAATAAATATACACCTACGGTTCGTGTTTCAGACAAAATATCTGGTAACACTGTCCTGAACAGAGCAGACAAAATTTCAAAATGAACCTGTAATTTATGTTTTATTCCTACATACATGTTATAAATACATTTGTTGTGAATGTCTTTCGAGTGTCTTGTGTTTATATTACAAGTAATATATTGTATCCAATGGTAGTAAACCTGTTGTCTAATGGGATTGCAGTCATCGTACAGCTCCCTCCTCCATCCTTAATTTTTCTCTTACCCTACTTTTTTTTACTGATATTCGGACTAGTAAACGAAAGAAGCGGAGTAAATGGAAGAATAAAGAAGGGGAAACAGAAAATAGTTAGAGATAATAGGTGGGGGGAGCTGAGATTCACCATGTGTCTGGATGCTCAGTTTCAACGTTACCAGACTATTTGCGAACCCTACAGCTACAGTGAGTATACTTATTCCTGTGGCCGACTGTACATCAATACCTAGCATAATTACTGGCACATTTTACCGTAGGTGTCGTGTGAGGAATTGTGATTCCCCGCCGTTGTAACACCGCCTTGAAATTCTATGAACGGACAACGTCTTAAAAATATGAAGTTTCTTCATCGTCATGGAACACTTGCGTTTCTTCCATGATGATCAGTACATAATGAGCTTATAAAGATGTGGTGACTGTCACAAGGACACAAGTTAACGGCCAGGAATGCTTAACGTTATGTTCACTATTTTCATTTGATCAGCCTTCTCACCACATACGAGGATCACCAAGAATTATGGCAGACTTGATATTTTCGTCAAAAAATTCTTGTATTCGATTTCTCTTCTGGTGTTGCCCGAATATATACATCTCCCAAGATGGTCCAGCCTCGTCCGCCCTCCCCGTCCAACATACAGTATATGTCCCCTGAAGCCCTGTCACCCACCCAACACACTCCTGGTGCACCTCATCTTTTTCACCTCTTTCCGCCGATCCCTTCCGACCCCTCTCAACTTTATTTTCCACTCTCCCCTTGCTGGCTCTTTCTTACTCCTCTGCTGCCTCCCTCTTACTCCTATGTTGTCTTTCCCTTACTCCCTTGCTGCCTCTTCTTTACTCCCTTTTTGCCTCTCCCTTATTCCCTTGCTACCTCTCACTTACTCTCCTCTGCTGCCTCTCTCTTACTCCTTTGCTGCTTCTCCCTTACTCCCTTGGTGCCTCTCCCTTACTCCCTTGTTGCCTCTCACTTACTCCCTTGCTGCCTCTCCCTTACTCCCTTGTTGCCTCTCACTTACTCCCTTGCTACCTCTCACTTACTCTCCTCTGCTGCCTCTCTCCTACTCCCTTGTTGCCTCTCCTTTACCCCCTTTTTGCCTCTCCCTTATTCCTATGTTGCCTTTTCCTTACGCCCTTGCTGCCTCACCCTTACTACCTTGTTGCCTCTTACTTAATCCTTTCTGCCTCTCCCTTACTCCCTTGGTGCCTCTCCCTTACTCCCTTGGTGCCTCTCCCTTACTCCCTTGATGCCGACCCTTACTCCCTTGTTGCCGACCCTTACTCCCTTGTTGCCTATCCCTCACCCCTTGTTGCCTCTCCCTTACCCCTTGTTTTCTCTCCCTCACCCCTCGTTGCCTCTCCCTCACCCCTTGTTGTCTCTCCCTTACCCCTTTTGCCTCTCCCTCACCCCTCGTTGCCTCTCCCTCACCCCTTGTTGCATCTCCTTCACCCCCTCATTACCCCACACCTCGAGGTAGTATGTACGGTACCAATTAGGCATAATATCCTAACGCCTCCAACCTTTCTACACCACCATCCCTCACCTCCCTCATCGTGGCTCTCACCGAACAATAAACCCACCATCTCTCCCTCCATCTCCCCTCAGCTTAAGCTGATGACAGGTTCCTGGTCACTTGGTCACTCCAGCGGGTCATATGAGTAACACTGTTTGGTATCTCTTTCTCTCATGCTGCAATATTATGTCCACTGTTATCTTGTAGGCCCTGAAGGTGGGAGTTAAGGCGGGTAAGGAGGTGATGGTGGTGGCCGCCCTCGCACTGGGTGGTGACCCCAACATCAGCGTGTGGGATGATGGTGCACAAGAGTCACGCAGTATGTTGACTTTGGCAGCTAGGTTGGGTCATTCCCATCTGGTGCCTCACCTTCTGGCGGCGGGACTCCACGTGGATGGTTCAGGGGAGTGCCACACACCTCTACACTTGGCGGCACATTATGGTCATGACCAAGTGGTGAAGGAGCTGCTCAGAGACACGCCTCACCTGGAGGCCAGAATTGATTTTGGTGAGAACCACAACACCACACGCACATACTAGTGTGTGTGTGTGTGTGTGTGTGTGTGTGTGTGTGTGTGTGTGTGTGTGTGTGTGTGTGTGTGTGCGTGTGTGTGTGCGATGGCATGTTTGACTGCGTGTGATCGTGTTCATTTAGTTGAGTTCTGTTTAGTGAGTGAATATATGTTATATGCGTTCGTTGTACAAGTGTTATAGTTAATAAACTTGTTTTTTATCCGCTAATTAGCGATAATATTACGTGTTTACATCCATGACTGAATGAAACTTTGGTTCATATTTTATTAAATTTTCTCCGCTTCGCTTGAGACTTCGTTCACTTTGATAACAAAATAATACCTAAAATTCCTATAAAAAAGGTTCCCAATATGTCACAAAGTTAGTGATATTTTAAGGTCTAATTAAGCTAATATGACTATATACCTTCACACACACACACACACACACACACACACACACACACACACACACACACACACACACACACACACACACACGGTAAAAGTGTTGGGGAAGAAGGACGTACTGTAATTAATCCATCTTGTTTGGTGTAACCATAAGGAAAGGTTTTGTTGGTAGTGCAGACTGAAGAAACAGATGAATAAACTCACGCTTGTGAATGTGGCTTCTTTCTTATAAAATTGCGAAATGAAGGAATGTAAAAATAAATGTTGGCGGGGGCTTAAAGGCAGCTCATCGGTTGTAAATCCATAGAAAACTGAAAAGGAAACTGTGGTCGGCAACAGCCTCTTCACAGAGCGACAACAGCCTGATTTTTGGGCCGCTGTGTGGATAATGATCAACCTCCCTCAACGTTAACAAGGTGTTTGAGTCCAGGTGTACAGTACCGTGTGTTCTTGTATCATCCCAAACCACTTGTGCCCCAGGCTATTATAATATAGTAAATGAGCAATAAACACAAAATAACGAATAAAAGTTTGACAGAAAAACGAAAAAAAATTGTAATTTGGATGTATTTACAGAAGACATAAAGAGTGTGTTAACCCAGAGTGATGTGGAGTGTGAGTGTAAGAGTGTGTTAAACAACCCAGAGTGGTGTGGAGTGTGAGTGAGGTCAGAGACTGATGATCTGTGGAAGACGAAACTTTGTGGGATCATCCTGGTGACTTTCCTGCACTGTGTGTGTGTGTGTGTGTGTGTGTGTGTGTGTGTGTGTGTGTGTGTGCGCGTGCGGTTGCTTACATTTGTTTTTGGTGTTTAAGAAGAGAGAACACAAGAGGTGTAAATAAACTTCTTAATAAATGTTTAAATGAAGCCGAGTAAATATTCTAACAATATTAGTCAGGTCTTATATCAACATTTATTATATCAGTCTAACACCAGTTGGGTTGTGGTACAGGAAAGACCGCTCTACGTGTGGCAGCAGAGGAGGGTCATCAGCGTTGTGTGAGGACGCTCCTTAGTGCCGGCGCTGACCCTAACGCCCGAGATCATGAAGATCGTACACCACTGCACCTTGCTGCTCTCTGTAACCATTCAGCTATTGTGGAAGACTTAGTGACTGATGACCGCTGTAACCTCCAAGCACTAGATATAAATAACGACACAGCACTACACTACGCAGCAATAGGGGGAGGTATGGAGACAGCGCAGTACCTGTTGGAGGTCGGCCTCAACCTTAATGCCAAAGGCTCTTTGGGGTACACACCTATAGACCAGGCAAAGATGGAGGGTCATCACCTTCTTTTGTGGTGGCTGATGAAGCAGCCACAAGCCGTTGTTGAGACACCCAGGGGAAAGATAGAGGTAAGTGCTGTCGTGGAAGTAAGAACAGCACCCGTCTGTCAGCACCGCTCTCTTGGTTATTATTAGTAGCGTGTGTTACGTCCACAATGTTCTTACTTCCCTCAGTGATATTATCGTTTGTAGTGTAACGTGAAATATTTACCTCCTATTGTGATATATTTACCCCCAATTATGATATTTGCACCACCCACTGTGTGTGTGTGTATGTATGTTTGTATTTATGTATATCTATATATAGAGAGGAAGGATGATATAATACTACTATTACTACTACTACTACTGCTATTTTTTTCTTTAAATGGCCTCCAGCCTCCCCCAAAGGCCATAACTTCGCCACCATTTCATTACATTAATATTAAATATCCTAATACATAAGTAGCTATCCTAGCTGTGTTGAGTTAGTTGAGCCGCAGATCTATGCGGCATTCAGTGACTGTAGCCTTATAGTCAATATCTGCAACTGTTGTCGGCTTTGGGGCCGATGATCTCGTTCCCCTGAGGCAGAGCAAAGCAGACCTAAGGAGAGAGAAGGACAATCGACATCTAATCCAGGCTGTAACATAGCTTCTGGGCTGCTGCTTCTGTTCGGATAGCACCTCCGCGAGTCTGGCGTAGAAGCATCTTGCACTTGGTCCCATCCCACCAGAGGTTGTGAACACCAGAGGAGTGAAGCTGCCTTGATCAAATTCTGAATTCTTTCCCCATATACCCTTATCTGGTCATTCTCGTTCCTCCTGTGTGCAGCATCGAGAGCTAAGTTACGGTGACATGTGGCCATGGGATCAAAAATCCTGAAGTCGAAGAAGGCTCGCTGTCCCCGCGTTCAGAATCCTCGAGCACTGACTTCAACACAGGCTTCGTTGGATGTGTTTGAAGTCCTATGTTGGAAATTCTCACCGTCCAATGGAAGGAGGGTCGGTTCTACCCTGACATCACGACAGATTTTCTTCAACATGTTTGCTGTGAGATCCCTTACTTCATCATGCCTCATGCATATGAAGCCCCCTTTCTTGCACACCATGGCATGATCGACGTTGTAGGAAAAGCCACACACGCATTGGGAGGGCAATCCTTCTACTGGCCTGCCATACCTTAGAGCAGGGGTTCTCAACCAGGGGGAACTGATTCGGGAGCAAGAGATATGTTCGATGAGAAATCAACCACAGAATTTTGGCCTTGATGTGCGATTCTTACCCAAAAGTGGCAGAAAGAGCTATCCGTGCATTGCTTCCGTTTGTGTCGACATATCTTTGTGAGTCAGGCTTTTCAACTCTGTT